GTAGCACACTCGGCACGTATTCGAGAGGTGCAAATTCGAGTCCCGGCAAAGGCATTCCTCATATTTCATGTCTCTTGTTTTTGTTTTCTTGTTTAAAAAAACCTAATGATTCTACAGTCGCGCCCTAACTAAAAGGTGATGAATGATGATTCTTCGACACCTGGACTTGGCGATTGGGTCCCTAATCCTGCCTAAAAAATAGTGTATATAAGGTATTTTCTTCTTCCTTTTTGCAAGCCTTCGTGGTGTAACGGTAGCACACTCAGTGTTTATTCGAGAGGCACATGTTCGATCCGAGGGTACTGCTCATTTTTCGTGTTTCCTACTTCAAAAATACTAATGACTTGTCAATCCAATGACTATTTATGTATAATTACATCCTAATAACTTATATATGTATAATTTAAACCTATCCACTTATTTTATTTTTAGGTTTTAAATCTGAACTAATTACAAGAATGAAAACTTCCATTAAACAGGAGATTTAAAGAATTAAAATTTTCGCCTAGGAAATAGATTTTAATTCAAGTATATTCCGACAGAAAGTTTAATGTGGGTGGAAGAAATTTTACTTAAAGCTCGGTCCATGTCATGCAAATCTTTTTGTCTTTCGCCTGAAGATAGAAAGATCAGTGTATTCACAATACTTCAAATATTTGCATATGTTTTTCGTTTACGAAGTCTAAAGCTTTCACACTGAAGATGTTTCCTTTAATTTTCTGTTGCCTCATTTTGGAGAGAACTTTTCTATTCAAATAAGCAGACGCAAACCAAATTATACTATTTAGTCCAGTTGTAAAAAATGTCCATTATACTATTGTCCGTTTTTTAAAACTTTATACAGTAACAAAATGCTTTAAAAATAAATGCTTTAATCTCTTTCACGAATAAAATTCTAATGACGATGCTTCGGTAATAAATACGTTTAGTTAGGTGAAATTATTCTGATAATAAACATTGCGCATTATAAAATACTGATGGATTCATTAATGCAACGTCAAAACTAGATCTATAACTACAAAATCATAAAAGAAATACCACTATTCAGATCTTCATAATTGTCTTAGAAAAGACTGCAGTTTAAAGAAAACCTATTAGGGTCTGATTTTGTCAATTTCAAAAGTATAAAAAAAGAACAAGGAAACTTTAACTCTCAATTTCAAGTGCTCCATTTTTATCACCGAATTTTACGATCTGGATTTAATGGGTTTCTATCTCATGAAATATTCAGCAAATAGAGAAAAGTCCAACAAAGCAAAAGAACACGTTTCCTTCAAAGAAGGAAGATATTAAAGGGAAAAAAAAACGATTAAAGAATAAGAACTGTTTTAATACGAATGCTTTCCAGCCTTTGCATATTTCTCTCATTATCTAAAATTTTTCTCTAGTTTTACGCTTTGCTTTTAATTATTTTTAATATCCAAATATGGCGGTGAAAATATTTCAGTCATTCTAATTATGAATGAGACTAATTCATCTATTTGAGTTACATATAAAATTAATGATTAAATGCTTAAATACAGGGTGTTTATAAAGTCCCGGACCCATTTTGATGTTTAATAACTTAGAAAATAATGAAGATATAAACAAACTTATGGTTTATGCTTTCCGGTCTAAGATGCTTACGTGGTACTTTTAAAAAGTGTACATAAAAATGTGTGCACATAAAAATTACCGTATTTAACTATGATTGGGTAAATGTGTACCAAAATAACTTGATAATAAAGATTGGTGAATCGTCGTTTGATTAATAAACAATCTGAAAATAAAGATTGGCAATTCGTCAAAATCCAGTTTTTTTAGCTTCTTCTGCATGCCTTTCCACTAAGCCATGACGACTGTCGAAAGTTAAAAGTACCGGTGTCTTCTACGTAGTTAAAATACTACATTTATTTTAAAGACGTCATATTTTTCTGCGTAGCCATAATGGCTAAGTTGAAAAGGCAGGAAGAAGATGTTAATAAAACTAATTTCGGTGAGTCACCATCTTTACTTTTGCACATTTCAAAATCATCTCTTTGTCAGACAAATCACTTTTCAATCATAGTTGAAAACAATAATTTTTATGCACACGGGTTTTAAAAGTACGACGTAAGCATAAGCAGTGCACAGATGTTAGCAGAGTAGAAGTCAAGGAAAAGAATGGCATATTTGCTTGCGAAGCGGTATTTATACTAAGTAGATGCATAAGTATAACTGTGATTGGTTAATTTTAGGTTTTAGTTAAATTTTTCAAGCAGCGATGTGTAACATGGAAAGATCACGAATTGGGGGAAACAGATGGATTAAGGGGGAGAACATAGTACTTAGAATAGTTAATCTTGAAGTCGCCAGTCATTTCTTAAAGCAGCCATCGTATTTTTTTATATTATATATATATACTTATTTAATAGATTTTGTAGTAGAATGCAGGCGGTTGAATGCGTAATGAACAGCGAGAACTTTGATGGCTCAGATATGTTGAAACTCCAATCCACAATGAGTAAGAAATTTGGCAGTCGAGGTAGGTTTAATTCGACTTTTATTTCAGCAAACATGTTGCGACCGCAATCAAGTTGGCACATTAATTGTACCTGTTTCCTAAACGTTTACATTTTAGATAAATTTTTCAGTAAGAAAGAAGAAGCTGACAAGCTGCAATCCAGCTAGGCCAAAGCGTAGAAAGCAAATGCGTTATGTTTAGGATGAAATCTTAATCCAGACTGAGCTAGTTTTGGTTTTCAATGTACGTATTTTAACTGAATAGTTAATACTGCTGTAAAATTAATATTGGCTGTTTGAGTTTTAGTTCCATTTACATCATCAGAATTTTTTAAGAGTCATATGACATAGATTAATATTGAATGTCCAGTCGCGGTAAAATAGCTTCCCCGCAAAGCAGGTTTAGGGTTGCCAGAAAACGGCGTGGAAGCGCAGGGTTGCCATATTTGGCGAGATATTGTCCATTTGGAGACAAAATCGATGATATGCTACAGACGGGTGGAGAACATGTTACGTTTTTCTATACGTTGAGGGTTTGAGAGTGATTAACGACAAGGCTGAAGTAACGGAACACAATTTATTAGCCAGTATATTACTCAGGACAGCTCCAAAATTGCGCTTACAGTCGTTGTGAACCACTATAAGCACGCTGAAACAATCAGCTACACGGCCCTCAGACCTTCAGTCTATAACGGTGAAGACAGCTTCATGGCAAAGCACCAGAGTACAGCTCCCGACCCTGCTCGGTTGTTCTCGGAACTCTGTGTACTTGAGAGCCTCCCCAGCTTCAGGGCAAAGCACCAGATCACAGCTCCCGACTCTGCACGCTCGTTCTCAGAACTCTACGTACTCTGGAGACTCTCCACGCTACAACTCGCTATGCACTCGACGATACACTACATTACAGCTCCCGACTCCGTTCGGTCGTCTCGGAGCTCAACACACTTTAAGCTCAACGATGCGCTAACCTAACCTCGCGATACACTAAGAGACTCTCTCGATGCACTCGACGACCAACTCGTCACTAGACTACGAGACACTCCCTTACTGACTATTATCCTTCCAGCACGCGCGCTTGGCAATTTTACATCAGCACGCTCGCGTCGTATTTTTTACGATATCGGTTATTTTACGATATCGGTTTTTTTGGCGCGAAAAAACGACAGAAATGAGTGAATATTGATAATAAATTTGTTAAGAAATAAAATATCTATCTTATTATTGTAAAATACAACTGATATCACATTCAAATATAAGTAAATTATTTTTAAGTTCTTATGTTAGTGAGATGGAAATGAAATGATGTATTTCATTATAGAAAATTTTTAATTTATTATTTAATAATTATATTTTAAAATCGAAGCTAATTTTAATATTCATCAACAACAAACATAGACAAACAAAAAGGAAAACACCTTGGTAGGAAAAAAAGTAAGTTTAGCATTACTTACTTCTGCAAGGAAATTTACTTCTTACTGGTTACAAAAACGCACTTTAAACTAACTTTAATTATTTTATTTATTTCTAAAAAACAGAAATAAAAGAAAATAAAGAATGGAAATCGCTATTGTTGTCCCATCCAAAGGTTTCCTTGTCGTCCTTTTCTTCATCAGATAATTCTTGAAGAATCCAAACAAAATCAGCTGGTTGAACATATTTTTTTGCCATAAAAACCGATATAAAATTTACAGAGACAAATGTATTCAAATTAAATTAATACACGATAATTAATAACACAAAATTACAAAATATTTGAGGAAAAATATTTTTTCCGAATTTTAAAACACGACCCACGCGCGTGTCGTAACATTTATGGAACAGCTGTCACGTAGCAAAAAAGCCCAGTTAAAAAAAAGTCAAATGACTTCCTATTGGCACATTCCATGTTTTGGGGAATGGTACAAATTAGGAATAGAAATGACCTTCAGACGTCTCACCATGCGAAAAATGTGCATTAAAAACTGAATTTATCGTAAATTTTGCGCATACGCGCGTCCTGGAAGGTTAAACTTTTAAATTGCTGATAATTCTACAACTACTATTGCACGCTGACTCGGCTAGGCACTCACTCTCCTCTCCGCATACCAACAGGGTTTATATAGCTTTTGGCTTGCGTTCGAGAACATTTCTGCGCCAAACCGATAAGAAATCGTTCTAGAAGGTTCTCCATTCGTCTTTGGCATATCGACACTTTTGTCGCCAAATGGGCGATTTCTTTCTCGCCAAATATGGCAATTTTGCCTTCCCTTGCCATTTTCTAGAAACTCTATATACCTGCTTTGCAAGGAAGCTATCTTACAGCGGTCAGACATTTCGTAGCAATATAACGCATGATTTATGTATCATAGTTTTATTCACATGTAACTTGCACATGTTTAGATAAGTAAATATGCAGTGAATTAAGTTTCCTATGAAACTGTAACATAAAAACACTATAAAGACCACATAGTACCAAAATATTTTATAGCATAAAACTGTGCATGCAGAGCACTAATTAAAAATATTCTTGATTTACTTACCAGGGTAATATTCGATTCTCTTTGCTTTCGAGTAATTGGTGCCGGGAAGTTCAACCAAGCACTCAAAGACTCAAAGACTGAGGCTCCGTTTTTAGAAAGTTCACTGGCATTGAACGTCCTGTACAAATACGCGTACGCGTCGTAGACACGTGAAGGTTTGGATATGGAAACAGTTATGACGTCGGAAACTTCTTGCCGAGCGCTTCCGTTGTGTTTGTCGATTCGAGGTATAACTTTAATACAGGTTTTGGAAACAGTCCTAATGCTTCACAGGTTACATTCACAGACGAATCGCTCAGTTCCCTGTACGACAGCTCGAATTCGTTAGCAGGAACTAGAAAAGAGGAATAACATTATATTAAATATAAAATGAAATAATGAAATAAAAATTAGAGAATAGCAAAGGAATGCAAAGTTGGCATATTTGGAGAGAAATCGCCCATTTAGCGACAAAAATTGTCGATATGCCATAGACGGATGGAGGCCCTTCTGGAACGATTTCGTACCGGTTTGGCGCAGAATGTTCTCGAACGCAAGCCAAAAGCTATATAAGCCCTGTTGGTATGCGGAGAGTGAGTGCCTAGCCGAGTCAGTTAATAGTCAGTGAGCGAGTGTCTTGTAGTCTAGTGTATAATGCAGGGTTGGCCAAACTTCATGTCAATAACAGCCACACGTTTGATTTCAGTTCGAGAGCCGCATCTAGATTTTCCAAAAGCCACAAGTTCATATTTACATCACTCTAGAAGTAGTGGAGGAGGTTTTTAAACAGAAAGGAATTTCTTATAACTTAGTAGAAAGAGTCTAAACTAATTAATTACTTCTTTTTCGACACTGAAATAGTTTTAGTTTACCATATTTCATACATATATTTTATATGCAGGAGCCGTACAAATTGCCTGCGAGAGCCATATCAGGTTCGAGGCCACCCCCAGTATAATGTCTAGTAGTGTATGTACAATTTTATAAACAACACGTATGAGGTGCCTTCTAAGTTTGTAAATATTTAAAAATTATATAAAATAAATAAATTGTCATATCAAAGTGTACCTAAAGACATGTAGCAAAAGCACAATAATTGAACATAATTTTCATTTTTTTTTCTAATCGAACCTCAGATCTCTCAGTTCTAAGAACGCACTAATATAACTGCATCAAAGACATTTACTACACCTTTTAAAATAGCGATTGAGCTCTATGGATCGAGCGCTCGGTTTCAGTATGTGCATACATTGTCTAATGCCACAATTAAAACTAAGCCACATTCTAGACATTCCATAGAAAACGCAACGAAAATAAAATTATGAGGCCTTGTTTCTAAACAATTTGATTAAAAATTGCAGAGAAAAGCATTAGAGAGTTTCAGAATATAGAACTACTTAGAAGATCTCTGTAATCAGAGTAAGTGATGTGTGAAGAATAAATATAAAATAACTGCGGTAAATCCTCACACAATGATTTCTGAAGGCTCTGCAGCATCAGTGAACAAAGAATCTTCTTATTAGCTCCAGTGAACATAGAATACTCTTATTATAGTAATTCAGTACACAGAAAGTGATATAAAGACATAACCTACCATCTGATAATGGTCTGGATTCTGAGTAACAAAATTCGAAAAGAAATATCGTTTGTGTCAGTAACAGAAAGGATGAGCACACTGATGATTAATGAAGGAAATCTCACATGCTTCATGAACAACCCTTCGTATTCATCGAACAGACGACTTGGAAGAATTCGACTCGTTATACACCAATTATTCACACCAACATGAAAGCATTATATCCTTCCCGTTATGCAGAGAAAACGATCAA